CTCCAAACGTCACCCACCGAAAGGTTTAAGTATTGCGCTTTTCCGGAGTCAGCTCATAAGGTTTTGAGATCTGTTTGGGAGGGTAGCAATATGAATTTGTTCATTCCTTAGCCTCTACAATTTATCGTGTAGGTTTATTCGGCATTCACCTCTCTGCAATACTCTTAATTGAAAACAAATACGGGTAACGCAGCGGCCTAACCTTTTTTTGTTTATAGTGCATCTGTTTTCTTTGCCCTAAGCTGTGCGCTTTTGTTTTCTTTCATACCATGGCTCACCATGTGAAGCCATCTGTTATGTTGGTGTGTTCGACAGCTAAATTAACAATTCGTTTTTATAAACATTCACCATTTTGCTCTGTTATATTCATATTTTTTTTATTTCAGGGAAGTATTCGCATTCCACTGTTGATAACCATCGTACATCATAATTGGTGTGGCAAGTTCGATAGCGTGCGTACGTTCACTATCGTTCTTATTCAATCTACGGGTACTGACAACGTCGCCTTCTCACCTTCTTGAGGTCGTCTCTGCTGCTGCCTTAGGAACCTCTGCTGCCTACATTAACAGTGAGTAATGGCTCTTTTCATTCCGAAGTTTTTGCATAATTTTTTCATCGCTTACCAAATGCGTTTGCTGAATATCTCATTTCTAAATGATGTAAGTGAAGCTTTCTCGGTAATGTAAATTTTTTTTCGCCGAGATGAACTTCGGCACATTACTACGTATGCAACCACTGCTTTCCCTAATTGGTAGAGCCGTCGCAGCAGGTCACCCCAATGTTTGGGCATAACACAGTTTATTTTAACTATTCTCTATGCGATAGCGAAGTGCTCCTTCTGGTTAATACGTTTTGTCGTTCATTTCTTCGCTAGGTGAAGGTCGCTCCTTTCGAGAATATTCAGATTAAGGGAAAATTTTTGATTTTTTCATGGGTATTAATTTTTTGAAGCCCAAAATCGCAATTCTTTTTTCGATTCTTCTTTGTTTTTGAAACTCAGAAACTGTTCATGTCAGCACTAATGGAAGAGCTTGAGATGTTAAATTCCTTTAGGGTTTTAAAATAGCTTTTGCTCTTCGGTTTAACAGGTTTGAAGATCCGTTCTAGTTCTAATCTAGAGCCGTTTCCAAATGGCCATTGACCTAACCTGTTCTGTTCAAATCGCTCATCCTAATCCCCTGCTATCAGACGCATATCTTAAAACGTAGTCAGAAATAAGTTTCGTCATAGAATGAGGTTGAGGGTTGCGGATTGTTGGGAATTACGTCAACTTGATGATGTTAAGATCGCAGAGCTCCGTCGTTCTCAAAAATCTTAGCGGCCGTTTTTCACCAATAAAACATCTATGTCCCTTGTTGAATTCTCGAGAGAGCTCTCGAGAGAAATGCGTATTTTTGTCTTTTCAAATGCATTATAGGGGCATTAACGTCTTACGCGCCTACTTCATGAGCATCACAAAAAGGTAGCTTATAGAATAGCATATTTTCTATGTAAGATGTAATGAACCCTACGGACTTGCTACGGGAACCAAGGAAATTAGTTCTCATAATCAATTCCATCTCGGGGGATTTTGAATAGCAATACCATCAAATGCCGATTATCGTGGGATTCCTCACAATATGCCCAATTACTGACGACATCAGTTAGAGGCAACGCTCACGATAAATCAGGGATTTTAGTATCTTTGAATTGCCCTTAACTGTTAACTACAATGGCCAAAGAAAAACTTTCTGTTCCAAATAAGTTTCATGCACATGTCTCCTCATGATGATCGTAGTGGTCTGTCCTCTTCACTCCTTAGAAAACCGCAGGGAATGTATACGACGATTTTCTTAGCTGTAGTGCCTACCGGTTTACCTATGAGACCCATCAAAGCATGTTTCTTAAAGAGCCATCCATTTCACTAAATGGATATCTCATTTGTAATTCCACTTCCTGCGAATAGCAGCTTATGCCGTTGCCAGACGCAATGATGAAGTATAAACGCAGCTGGTGTAGTCCAACATACCCTGCAAATAGGCTTCTTCGTCTTATCATGCTCACAGCTGACACAGAAGAGGCGTAGCAGGGACACTGAAAGGACCTTACAACTGGAAGGCCGCCCTCCGAACCTTTATGGGAAAGCTTAAAGGCGTTGGACGTGTATTTCAAAACTTAATGGTTGAAAATTGTGGTTGCCTACTATCTCTTTGGTGCTGTTGCTGCGATACGAACTCGTAGGGTGTCTGCATTATGTGATTTCTTGTGTAAAATCGAATGGTAAGGATTTTTTGGGTTTGTTCAACTCAGTCAAGAATGCGCCCACGTAAAGGTTTTCTATTCAGTATCGTAATGGACTATGATGTTTATTTGACCTGTGGGGCTGTCCACCGCACGTCATTGTATAGGCCACATACGCGTTCAGTACGCCATTACGATTTTGAATGGATTTCGAATGCGTGGGCAACCCACAGACAGAATTGATTAACGCCCCAACACCTTATCCTTTATCCTCTATGTATCCGACAAAATAACGAGCTGCTGTTTCGATACATCTCTCAATTCTTTCTTGGGCTATGTTTTGATCTGCCTATTCTCATCGTCGAACAACTCCACGTACATGAATCTGCTTGGAAACGGTCTACGATAGTTACCAGGGTTTCAGAGGATAATGGTGTAATGGTGGAACCGCCCCTCTTGCACGTTCCTCGCATGCAGTTTTGCTAAAATTGCTAACATTTTTGAAAATTATGGCTCAATCGTCAATTTTTGTTTATACAAGGAGCATAATTTTTTTATACTTTCAAGGTTTTGCTTTTGTTGACACTGTGAGGTTCATAAGCTTATAGACTTTGATATTTCGACCACTTGAAGCTGGCCATTTCGTGTACATCCATGAATGAGCCTAGCATAGATTTTTCCAGAAATTTCTGCTGACATGATGCCAAATAATTGACTCGCGCTTAGATGATTTATTTGTGTAAAACATGCATACAATTTTTCCCAAAATTGAACAATATTCCGATACAATCGTCGCCGTTGATGAAGCGTAACTTACTTAAAACGTCGCTTAAATGCTGTCGTTGCTCCTCAAAATTGCTCAAAAACCTGTCATTTGTAGCTCATAACAATTGAAGTATAATACGCCGCTACTTTCACGGCATTAGGTAAGATCGCGTCAGATTAATGCCGTACGCCCACTAATTCCGACTGGGGTATTTAAGGTTCCGATTTCAATTAAATATCGCGAATGTTTCCATGCAGAGGTAATTACTTACTTCAGTCAAATAAAAACCTTATCTCCATACACAGGAATTCTTTTGTGGGAATAACATAAGAAAGGATATGGCGTCAGAGCTGTATGGAAAATCAATTTTCAAAGAAAGTTCAACTAATCTGCTCTCCTTTTCCACTGTATACTGGGCTTTTTGTTATGATTTCAAGTTAATGATTTCACTCTCTGTGAAAGAGTTAATCCCTGGGTTGCTTCATTTTCATAGACACGATGAATCAGAGGGGTTCGTGAGCATTTATGGTTTGTTTCATCGCCCATGTTAATACAGTATGTTGCTAGAAGGATTTTCCTCTAGATGTGTAGGGCTGTTCATTATTGACGACTTTTGCCAAGTAAAAAACTTCAAATGTCTTCACGATTCACTTCAGCACCTGTGTCTACTAAGCTGGCTCTCACTTGCTTTTAGTTTGTTACAGACGCCAAGATTAAAATTTCCTTAGGGATCCTATTGTTTTATTTCATATTATTTCAATTGCATAATGAAATTAAATGTCCATACATCAAAGATTACATATTTGATTCCGTCCTAAAAGCTCGAGTCTCACTGCAATAAATTTGAAGAAGAAATAGAAAAGATCATGCAAAAAAACGCCCTATTTTTGGGGCACTCTCTCAGTGAATCAGGTCGTAGTCCATCTTAAAAATCTCCTATTCAATACTGATTAAGAAAAGTATTACTTGATATGCCATTAACTATACCTTCATTTCGATGTACAAAGTTAGTCAGAGTTGATGTGTGAATATGCCCTAAGAACAGTTGCTACCGTGTGAATCCTTGTGGTAAGTTGGTGAAGAGGAGGTAGGAAGTTTTTTGGCAGACTGAGTAGATTCGTTTTATGTGACCGGTCTGCTAAAGTTTTTTTAGTTCTATGTCATTTGAGTAGGTAAATTGCCTATCGTACCGAAATCTTACCTTAGCTCTCTTATAAGTTGTATTTACCTCCACGGGAAAGCTTAACCGGGCTCTTCTTCTTCCTTTTCCAGTACACTATGAACAAGAACGGAAATCATTAATTAGAACCCGCTCCGTACAGTAGCCCGGCAACGGGTCCTAGCTTGAAGGATATCCTTTTTCAATACATTTCATAGGTAACGTGTTGAGGGTTTGTGAATTCGAATAAGGTTGTGGCCAAGAATAAGATATGCTCGCTTGAAATATTGCGGCACTGCACTTTAAAACACCGTGAGGCTACTGTAGGAATCATGCTTGTGTTCTAAAATTTTGTTCCCGTCAACTATGAACCCTGCTTATGACTAAGAATGTTCAGTTTAGCAAGTGTCGGGTCTATTTCGAATTTGTGAGACAAATAGGAAATCTTGGTCAGCGGCTCATTTTTAATAATAAACCTCTTTTGGCGGGTTAGTGCAGTAACACCTGAGCTCCTTCTGATATACATATGTACATTCACGTTTGACAGATTTGTTTCCATCTTGAAGGCGTGCAGAAGTTTTTGTACAATAGGAGTCTTCTGATAAGGATTCCGAGAAAAAGAGCTTATTATCAACTCTATCGATCAGCGTTGACAGTATAAGTAGCAAATGGAAAAGGAATTATGTGGAATCTGCTTTCATTTATAGCTGAATGATTGCCAAATTGATCGAGTTTTTACTTAGTCATTAGGGATTCATTCAAAATAAGAAATTGCGTTAGCTTATCTAGTTAGACTACCTTTGTTTTACACTGTTGTTTCCCACAATGATTTTTTAAGAATCTAACGAGAAGAAGATGTCAACTAATGGATATGGTCATGGAATGGCTCGTGCAGCTTCTCATGCAGGTGGTTTACTCACGTATTATGAAAAGTTCCCATTTTATCTTTTCTCATCTCCTGGAGTTTGTTTTTTTTACCATGCCTGCAACTGTTTTCATTTGAACTTATCTCAAACAGAGTTTTTTTTTGCGGCGCAGTGAAAGCCTCATTTATTTCAGGATCATGGTATTCCAGTAATCCTAAGGAGCTAGACCGTCAAATAAGTCGATGGCTGGACGCTGCCGGTGATCGCGTTGGTGCAGCAAGAGCAATAGTCTCACCGTATGTTTTTCATGTTCATTGCAAATGTTCCGGCTGAAGGCCTTGCTGAGCTGCTTACAAGTTGAGCTTAGCAGGGTTTTTGTATAAACGTGAAGCCCTAGAGGAAAGATGCATACTTGCTTGTTCCCCTGGTTTTATCAATAATTAAAAATCCTTTCCAGTGGTTTTTCCCGTGCTTGATTATATGGTTACTCTTGTTTCGAAATTTTCGTACATTAAAAACCAACTGCTCAGTTATGGATAAGCTATGAATGGCGCCTCTCAGAAAACTACATGAATAAATTTATACAAGTTTTCTTCATAGATGTCTTGGCTAATTTTCAAATAATTCATGAAAAGTCCAAGACGAGTTTTCCTGTCTTAATTTAATTACATGGTTTATATGAACACCAGTGTCGAAGTACTGCCATTACAGTACAGTAGAGATCACAATTTGAATCATCCACCTCACTTCATATTACTCACTTCACTCCGCAGTGCTCACTTTACTCCATTAGCCTACCCACAAAGTGACTGCTTTTTATATAAGAAGAATAAGTTTTCCATATCACNACCTTTATCATAATCACAAAGTAACCCGGACGGACAGACCGACAAACCGAAATACCGACATACAGACAAACCGACATACCGACATACCGACAAACCGACAAACCAAGTTACTGCTTTATTTATAAGAAGGATAATATCAACAAGTGTGATAGCATACAACACCCAGTGAAACAGAGCTAAATGTTCTGAGAAATTGCTGTCATTTACTGAACGTTTACCATTCTCACTCTTCAGACATGCTGGATATTCATATTGTGGAGATACTGCAGCTCATGCCTTCAAGCAAATCGTGCCTGAAAATGTGTATGTATTTCTGTTTCATCGACTCAAAGCTGTTTGTTCCCTTTCTCTTATGCTTTGGTCATTATCGATTGCATTCGTTGTTTTTTCTTCCATCATTTTTAAAAATAACAGAGTTACCCGATTTTAGTGATCGCGTCTTCGTATTAGGACCATCCCACGTTGTCTGCCTAAATGGATGTGCTCTTACTACTTGTAGTAAATATCGTACACCGATTGGCGACTTGCACATTGATATGGAAGGTTTGTACATAACTTGCTTTAAAGCAAGTCATGCTGTTACTTGGTCTAGGTGAAAAAGAGAAAAGAGGTAAGGGTAGTCAATAGGGTAATTATAGTCTTTCGGTTGGGGATCAAGAGTTTTTCCAATAATGTCGATATGGGTCAGTTTTTGTTTTNGTCCCTGCCGAACCAGTGCAAATCACCTCCACATTAAGCAAACCACAAAGTGCGCCATGTGCAGCGTTCTAAATTCACAACGCAATTTCCTTTCCTAAGGGCCGTATATAGATGATCGTTTGAGTTTTTAATACCTTTGATGGAGGATTGTCGTGACTGGCACTGGCTCTTCAAGTTTTTAGTACTATTTTTATCGCCCATGATTGTCTTTGTTTCATGCGCTTTTACATTTATCTAAGGTGTTTGAGTCTTTGATGTATGATCCGTTCATTGAACACTTTTCTTAGCTTGTCCTTCGCTTTTCATAGGCAATACGATAAACGACAAGTCAGTTGTCCCGTCGGATAACCCTTCCTACTTTTCCCTCTAACTCGCTTGGCCAGCTATATTTTGGGAAAGTCTACTGCTGTAGTACATAATACTTTACATTATTTGTAGCCATTTCCCAGCAGTCATACCGTTACCGCTATGGTTTCCCTTCTTGAATTTTTTTTTTTGCAAAACACCTGCGTTCAACTATATAGCTTCTCTTTAATTCATCCATTATCACCATTGCTCTTTGCAAAACTTTTCAAAGGGGTTTTCTAGGCGTCCGAAAACTTTTCAAAGGGGTTTTCTAAGCGTCTGAGGCAAAGTGCGAGTGTTTTCGTAGCTGGGCATTCGTGCAATGGTACATTCTCAAGTATTGTGAAACCTGAACAGCCGCTCAGTGAAGAACGGCTGAGTCGAAATGTGTTGAGGCAATAGTTTTTCCTATTCAAAACATTATGTCTAATCGACTGCCATCGAATGAGCCCGTATTTTTGCAATGTTTCATGAAAAAGTTGGGTGATTTTTAGTTAATGATGAACTACGAGCCACACGTCAATTCGATCTTATGGACAGGAGTGATGAGGAGGCGGAACACAGTATTGAGATGCAAATGCCGTTCATTGCTAAGGTTATGGAAGGGTAAGCACTTCAATTATTGTGTTCATAGTTAGCTTCATTTTTTCGATTTTGCGAGATAACAATTGTTTCTGGAACGAACTTTTCGCTAAGTCCACGTGGGCTTGTCTTATTCAATATTTTAGGTCGTATTGATCTCAGTGGTTCTCACACGGCTTGATTTCCCATAGCGCATGTTTCCTGTTAGAAATCTATTATGCTTTTACCTCGGTGGAACAAAGTCATTACTTGCTGATTTATATTTCACTTCCCTCACCCGCCCCTCTTGTGTATCCTCGTAGACTGGCACCGGAAAATTTACGATCCCATGTAATCTCTACGACACCTCTCATTCAAAGTTCTGTCAATATTTGCCGGACTCCGAAACATTTCCAGGACATTGTAGAAGTCAGNGAAGATTCAAACGTATGGGCAAGCAATCGAAAGCACATCTAAGACGCTCGCGGTTGCAAAAGCAAAGCGTCGTTGGCGTTAACATTTTACTTGTTTTGTTAATTTTCCTAATTTTCCTCGGTGCTTCCAATGCTCTCAGAGATTGCTTTGTCCTTATGTTGCACCAAATGAGCCTCCACGAGACCCTCAAATATCACTCTACAAATTGGTTCGTTTCCCGATCACACTTGATTACCTGGTTGCACTCGAATCCCCTGGCTGTTTTTGGGAGCTTTTATAATTAAGTGTTTGTTGAAGATTACTTTTTGTATCATCTGCTTCATAATTCTCTTAGACTTTCTTTTGCATTATTGACGTCAACGTTATGACACATAATGCATGGGTGTACGCCTCCCCATTAATATTGGCCGTCACCTTGGCAAAGGCCATTATCGTCATATTATACGACACATAGACGCTTTAGTATTACATACGTATGTGGAAGTGCCGAAAAGGAATCGCGAGGAGAGTAACAGCGAAGAACCAGGAGGAGAATCAAAAGAATCTGTCGAGAACTCAAGCACCGCTTCACGCCCTGGATCAAAACTCAGCCAAGAGAGAAGTGGACGTGATGTTATGCGAATGGTCGTCTGAGAAGCGATAAGGAAGAGCCTGGAAGCAAAAAGAGGCGTGGAACAAATCTGAGACTTTGATAGACGCATGCCAAACGTGCGGAATACTCAAGGATCGAAGAAAAGTGAAGACGTATTTTTGAATTGATTTTATTAGATTCTAGATGATTTCCAACCAATCATTTCTCGCTTTCGAAAGCTACTTTGTTTCAGAAATCCTAATGTGACCATAATACCGGTCCTAGTCGGCTCGTTAACACCTCCCAAACAACAGGCATATGGGAAGATTTTTGCCAATTACTTGGAGAATCCGCGTAACCTATTTGTTATATCGTCCGACTTCTGTCACTGGGGTTTGTTCTATGAATGACTTTGTCAGCTTTCTTTCCCATTTAAACAGTTCTTAAGGTAATCGTTTTCACTTTGCTCCTCATAATCCGAACAGCGGTCTTGCCATATATGAGCAGATTACTCAACTCGATAGAGATGTGGGTTGGCTATCAATGAGTGTTGTCATGCTCTTCAGCTTTGTCGTCAAGAAGTGTCATTGTTATAATTCAGGGTATGGATGCTATAGAGACATTAAATCCACAAATATTCAACGACTACCTGAAGCGAACTCAAAATACGATTTGCGGCAGGAATCCAATCACAGTCATGCTTCAGGTATGTAAAAAAAGGGGGAATGGTTCCTTCCTACCGATTCAAAACTGCTCTTTGAAAACGAGATCCATCGTTATTGAGTTAATGAGTCTCAGCTCGACTTAGTTCTCGAAGTGCATGTGATCATTAACTCTATTTCACCTACATCACAGATAAATGAATCCTTTAAAGCATATCCGGCCCGAAAAGAACTTACACCTGTTTTTACTTCGCGCGCGAACTGCACACGGTTTCCTCCATATGTGGCCTCTGTTATAATTGATGTGGTATGATCGGACTATGAAGATATTCATGAAAACTAAAGCTCACTCTGCGATGAAATTCTTTTTCTCCCAGTACTGCTAGCCTTAGAGTAACATTCATTAATGAAAGAGTAATGCTATAAAGCGCTAGCTACACACTACTCACGCTGTTTTAATGGTTATTTTGCGATTAGAATTACATTAGCCGGCCTGGATGTTCGTTTTTTGGGTGAATCAAGACTTCCTTCCTTCCCCTGATTGTTATATCAGCCGCTCGCTTCACGTTCTCTCGCCTTCTGTAAGGGATGGGTATTGCGATAGCCAGCCAGCCTGCGACTCAAATAAGTTATTGTATTATTTCGGAGACCTAACTTCTTCCGGTGTCCAAATTAGTGCTGTGCTTGTGGCGTAAAATCAGTGGCAGCAATAAAGCCATAGCTGACGTTGCAAATTCCCGAGGAATCAAATAGGTGAGGTTGCTCTGGCACGTTACTGACTACAGCCGAAATCCGATGCAATTGTGATCAATAGTCGACTTAGGCATTGGCTGAGCTTCTAGCCTTTTTCAAGATTATCTTGCGAATCCAGTGACGATGAAAGAAATGTAAGAAAATAAGTTTAGGCGTTCAAATCGGGCTTGCATTCAGTAGTGGAGAGTATTCAACGTTTTCATTTGACGTAAATCGTATATTATCGGCTTTTTTGTTACTATCTATAGAAAAACCTCCCTTTTTAGGCTGCGGAACACTTCAGGATGATGAATAATCATACCCACGAATTCCGTTTTCTGAAGTATTCTCAGTCAAATAAGGTTCGTTCAAGACGGTTCCTTTTTCAGTTATGATTTAAGCTATTTCTAACTCGCAGCCTTCTGAAGGGGCACGGCAAGGACCTTTATCTTTTGTCAACAACTTTGTTTTGATTACTCTATATTATGACTGTTTTTTGTCCAGTAAATAATAAGCGCGAGACAGCGATTTATGTTTTTTTATGGAAGCAGATATGTTACCCTTACATGAAGCCGCGACAATTTTTTTGTCTCTTGAGGTGGTGGATTGTGATTAATGCATTTCTCAGAACGAACCAATTGGTTTGATGTCTGTTGATTGAAATGGGCACGAAAACGCTTTGCAATTATTGTGTCATTGCTTGTGTATGCTAGTTCATTTGCACTTTACCTTATGCTTGACAAATTGTCATGGAAGCTGAGCATGCAACACAGATTTTCTTCGGGGTTATTGTGAATGTCAATAATGGTAGAGTCACTTGAGAAGGGCAGTCAGTTTCATTGGCATCCGAATGGGCTTCGCCTAATGATTGTGAACAAAAGTTCCTTTTTCCCATTTTTGTCTCTAAGCTGCGCTGTTTTTTCTCTCTTTTTGATGTTGGCATACATCATGTCATGAATGTGCGTTTAGCTATAAAGCTACATGCTCTGTCCCTTCCCATCCATCGTTCCTTAAAATCGAGAAAAAGAATGAGGCCGTTTGAATGCTACTCTATTTCAGGGGGTTAGGTAGAATTCGAATCATTAACATACCAAAGGAGTAATCTTATTATTTCATAATGTAAGGAGGGCGGGTATGGAGGGCTGAGAGATGTAATGTGAGCTTGGATGCGGTGCTAGCCACTCCAGACAATGAATAATCCTTTTCGGGCCCTGGCTCTGTCGCTACAGTGTTTCCAATCTAAGTTCGTAGCCAAGGCATATCGCTTGTAAGCAGTCAAAGCTAGCGAACTCTACTACATCTCTTATCATCAAGCATTGAACTGAGTTACCTGGGTGGGTCAGGAGGAAGCGGTCTAATCACCTGCCAGGTTTGACCGGGTAGCGGCGCAGTAGCATCTTTCATAACCCACGACCGGTCGCTAGCGACTGGNGCGACTGGTCGTGGACTATGAGAGATGCCAATGAGTCGTCTAAGCAATTCACGCGTCGTTGTTTATTCTACCGCGTGCAGCAATCTCGCACGGCAACATTAGACCTTACAGTACCCGATACTGTGACAGTAGAGTCGACTGATGATCCACCACTGCAAGAAGTGAGCTCCGCATTACTTTCTCTATTTTTCCTGGATTAACTGTACGGTTGCAAGTGCCAAGGCAGCATTTTTCATAATATTTACCTTCTTATTGTTTTTACATGACTTCAAAAGTTACTTTTGATTTTCGCCTTTATTTCAACTAGACAAAATTCTCGTTATTCTTGCATTCATTCATTTCAGGCGAGAAGTGTCAATGATTCGTCCGTCTCATATGCTGCCGGTGCTTTATTCATGCACCCGAAATAATGGGTCTCATATGTTTTTCACAGTTTCTTTCGCTCTACTTTTGTTTATTGTATTTTGGAAGCAACTCACTGATTTCACTTCTGTACGTCATGTTTTCCTTCTCAGTTTTCTATCCCAATCATCGCGCCTTCATCAATCAGTTCAGTGATAACTTTTATGTCAAAGAAAAATTGTATATGTATTGTCATTACATTAGATTTTTTGTTTCGTATTTGACGAGAAATTGAATCACTTCTGCGAGTCTCTGCTAACCTCTCATATGATATCCAGTCGGCTGTCTTGCGTCCGTAGCTTTTTCTTATTCGGTGCCTTTAAGTGTGTTTTCTCCTTCATAATGGCTTCTTCGTATTTACTTCGAGACTAGGCGTTTTGAGAATGATACTGTATTTTCGTTTTAGGATATCATACCTACCCGTTTCTTTCTCAAGATGTGATATGTAATAGTAAAATTTTATTGGAATAACTTTGAAAGACAACAGAGTGAGCTTCAATGATGCCATTCGGGTTTGATACAGCTGCTAACCGAAAAAATGGTGCACGCTGCTAACCGAAAAAATGGTGCACTTTGTTTGATGGGATGGCTTCAGAAAACGATCAGAGCCCATACATAAAAGAAGCATCAAAGTTCTCGCAGTAATTCTTTCTTTTCAAAAAGGAATTCATAAATATTTTATGCATAGAAAGGTTCTATAGGTAGCGATAGGCGAATAAGTGCCCTATATGCCTATTTAAAAAATACAAGGGAAGAAGTGATTTCGGTGATATGGCGAAGATTCCTATTACCTTTTAATGAGATGGTGTTATTTAGAGCCTACGGCTTGCAAATGTAAATTGATTAAAGAACCGGCATGGTCAATAATTCTGAAAAACACCTGCCATTCCGAGTTGAATGGTATATTTCACAAGCAAAGACCTCTGGAGGTCTAAGGATATTTGAAGCAGTAATGAGGGTCGTCCAGTCTTGACTCATCTAAGTGGAAAATTCGCGGTCCAGTTGATTCTGATTCCAGTCTGTCAGATTCGATCTTTGCGGGTCATGTATGCGTCAGAAGCACCATTGTTCTTTGCCACTTGGTCGCACATGTAAGAAGGCCATCCGCCTCTCTGCTATCCATCTGTCAGACGTTCATATTCAACTTTTCATTTCTGGAATCAGTCGGAATGGGAGAACACACTAGGAAATACCTGTTAATAACTCCCACGAGGTGTAGGGCATGATGGATTTGATATCATCAATAACATCGTATTCTGCAGGAGCTGTTCCCGTCGATGCAGCTCCCATTCAGAATCACTGCGGATACCATAAAGAGGGAATCTCGCAGCAATTTCTATTTGATTATGTGAAAAGTAGTTTGTAGGGCCGATGGAGCTCTTCGCCCACTTTAGACTACGTGAGCAACATGAGCAAGCTTTTAGCATGACGACACTCAGTTAGATAATTGGGTTCTCATAGAAAAATAAGGCAAGCCACTTTTTCGTCAGCCAATGTCGGAGTTACTCATTAGTTAGCTAACCAGTGTCGAAGTACTGCCATTACAGTACAGTAGAGATCACAATTTGAATCATCCACCTCACTTCATATTACTCACTTCACTCCGCAGTGCTCGCTTTACTCCATTAGCCTACCCACAAAGTGACTGCTTTTTATATAAGAAGAATAAGTTTTCCATATCACTACCTTTATCATAATCACAAAGTAACCCGGACGGACAGACCGAC